AAAAATAAATGTCTTTGAACCTAGCAGACGCAAGTGTACCTAAATGACAAAATGACAACCAATGGGAAGTAACTAAACTTTGTCATTGACTCATTTTCCAACAATCACAGAAAGAAAAGCACACTCGAGAGTTTCACCTTGAGAAACGCGGATGTCTGCAAGGCATGTGTTAGGAAAACACGAATTTTCACCTTATTTTCGTACAAATACGGTATATGTCAAACGCTTTGACAGACACATTTGTCGACGCAGCGTTGTGCGATACGAAGCGTATTTGAATAAATATAAGGTGGAGATTCGTATTTTCCTAACGTATACGTTACGCTGTTACTACTAAGTATAATGAGACGCAAAGACACTTGAAAAATCGCTATTAGAAAACATCCCGATTCTTATTTCGTCCACTTTCGTAGGAGTGTCTCCGCCCGCAACGACTTGTCAAAGCTCCAAAAATAGCAGTTGGTCAAGATCTTATGAGTATATATGAGCAAGGTATAGATAGAAAGCGCCTAACAAGGTATGAACGGTTGGCACCGGTATGAATACAACCTCTGTATCCATCAGTAACAAAGCGACAGTGACAACACTGTTATACATCTCTATTTCTTCTCATAGGAGTTCTCAAGCTCCATGGCTCCGTAAGATGGCATCTTTCTAACTCGTGATCGTCGGAGACGTGAGACGTGCGACATCGCTTCGCTTGAAACCATTTCCATATAATAATAATAATAATAATATACATTTATTACCATAACACATAACATCTTTAACATACATTACCTATTTTTACATAAATTGTTACAATATGGCAAAAGGCAACGGACTCAGTTGTTGCCAAAGTGTTGTACGAAACAACGCTATTGGCACTGGTTTTCAGCCGTCAGTAACCCTTCTCATATCATGAAAAACAAACAATTTTACATATAGAATGTATGAAACAGAAGAGACAAAGCTACACACGTGAGACGTGCATCGCATCGATGACGGCTGACGATCGCTTGTCTGACAGATATTTTGTCGTGTCTATTCCATAGAGTATATATATAAGCAAGCTATAGATATAGAGTACACCTAAAAAGTTAGAACTGTCGGCAGTAGTCTGGGCGCATCCTCTCTGTCTGTCAGTAGCAAAACGCCAGTGACAGCACTACTGAACTTCTATAATAACTTTTTATACACTTGACGTCTGTATCTAGGGAGCAACTGCTTACACTTTGACAGTACGCCGCAGGGCCTAATGCCACAAATTAGAAAAACGGCGCGCGGGCGCCTTTACCAGATGGCTCACTCAGTACTAGCGACGATTTTGACGCATACTGACAAAAACTGGAAAAAACCGGAATCTCAGGGGAAGTCAAGGTAAATAAGAAGGTGGTTGACACGAATGTCATATTTATTGGATAAAAATTGGCTCAGAATCATACGACGTTCTTTGTCAGATTTTGCTGTTTTGACGTGTTTATACTTTGAGATTTTTGACAGTAGCAACCCTGGCTATGTTACAAGTGCCAATCGCGAAAATCCGAAATAGGGCCGAGTGAACCTTCTGTAAACTCTCTATTTTGTGCTAATGCGCACTCTATAGCTTGCTTGTATATACTCTAAGGTCTATTCTGTGTAGCTTTCCCTAGAAGTTTTGCTTAGGCTAGGGACAATGTCCCAGCGCGATACGCGTACTCTATTTGCTTAATGTTTACTCTGAGGTGAAGACGAGTTATCTAAGTGTGTCTTGAGCTCAGACCGAGGAGGTATGGACCCGAATCGATCGTTGAAATCTTCGGACAACAAGGCCTACAGTCCCAGGTTCAAGTCCCGGCGGTCGCTAGAGAATTTTTCAATTTTCTTATTTTCAATTTATGAGAATAATATTGCGCTGTGAGTGCATTAAAAATTCCAATACATAGGCCTATAGGTAGGCTATGTTGCACGAAGGTTACCTAATGATTTTGCTTCAGGCACAAATTAGGAAAATACGCGCGGGGCGCCTATACAGATGGCTCACTCAGTACTAGATAGATACTATAAACTTTTGTCGGGCGTGGTGTAGGTAAATGGCCTTTTTTACAGCTGTTTACGCTCCGCCTACCCCGCAAGGATAAGGCGTGATGTGTGTATGTATGTAGGTATGTATCCGCATATGTTAGGAACCCTGTGCTTAGTGAGTTTCGCTGACGCATCACATCGTGTTATGGCTTATGACTGACCCTTCCTTCGACGTCCATAAATGTGGGATCACCCCGCAGCGTGTTTCTTACATAAATCATAAGTAAGTGCGTTAGGATGGCGATATTTTTGGAATAACATCATTTTATTGCATAAATAACATACATTCATACACACATCACGCCCTCAAAAATACTTCAACCTTCTAGGGCAATATAATATTCTTCGCGGTGGAGGTGACTGTTGCTTTGGGTACAGAATCTCGGGCGTTTATCGCCGAATTATGGAGCAGCATTCGCCGGGCAGAACCCCGCTCGGAGTCGTACCTGGTGCAGCACATGTTGGCGATACACCTCTAAGATGGGCACGTTTCCTCCTGGTACGATCTGGGCACAAATTAGCGAAACGGGCGCGGGGTGCCTTTACTCGGGGTGGCTCACTCAGCTACCTACTAGCGACGATTTTGAAGCTTACTGACAAGATCAATGCTTACTAACTGTAACTGAAAATAACTGGAATCTCAGAGGAACTCAAGGTAACTAAGAAGATAGTTGCCACGAACGTCATAATTCTTGGATTAAATTTGCTTAGCTCAGAATCATATGACGTACTTGTATCAGATTTTGCAGTTTTGATATCCTTAGGTATACTAGGTATATCGATTTTTGACAGTAGTAGCCATGGCTATGTAACAAGTGACAATTGTGAAAATCCTAAAACAGGATCGAGTGAACCTTCTGTATACTGAATACTCACATTTTGTGACCTGGGGCATAAGAATAAATAATAACACTAATTTATTACACTAAATTATATAAGAAATAAGTACCTATAGTTGAATGCCTACCTACTTAGTACCACTGTCGCATGATGGTCGCATGCACCCTAATTTGCACGCTACTACTTTTACACACACACACACTCACGCTCACGCAAACGAGTACGTCTTAACCTAATCACACTCACACCTCAACAATCAAATCTATCTAATACCTACTTTAGATCTGTTTTTATGCACGCCAAACGACCACATAGTTTGCTACCTATGATGTCTGTAGGTAATACTTATGATCTGCATTGTTATATTTTTAAGTTATTATAAGTAAGTGTACCTAACTACTACCTTCTCCTTCTGTAACACACATCCTAAACAAAATGTAAACATGGGAAGAGCGGGGTATTCCCAACACAACTACTTAAAGGGAAGCCTCCAGCAACTTTGTGAATAGGATTTATGGAAATAAAGAATTTTTAATTTTAATTTTAATTTAACACTACCGTGCCTGGGGCAAGTTTTTTGATGAACAGCATATAGGTAGTCAGGATTAGCTTTAAGTAGGCCTAACTAAGCTTATTTATTTAGCATAGATTGAAGTTATAGTTCTTCCTATAATAAATTACAATAAACATTTCATAGGTAATTTAGCGCGGAAGGGGCCGCGCGCGGACGGCGGGCGATAGTGCCAAACTTTCGGGCGCGAGTGTAACGCATTTGGCAGAGAACAACTTTGGTGGACCCAAATCGAATATTGTGTTTGTTGAAAACGGCACCGGGTAGGGCTGCCTTTTTGGGCTTCAGCTTTGTGGGCTAGGGCTGTTAACTATAGGAATTCGATTGGTCTTTCAAACACCTCGTCGTGAAAGAGGTCCATTAGAAGATGCAACTAAGAAAATCACCTTAAAGTGAGGTTCACACGTAACGTCTCTTCCTACGCTATAGATATTAGCGCTGCGTGCAAGGAAAGTGCGAATCATACAAATACAATTTATGTCAAACGATTTGACAGACGCATCCGTCGACGCAGCGGTTTTATGCGTAGCGCTAGCGGATGCGCCTGTCAAATCGTTTAAAAATACACGCACGCAACGTCCATTTTGACATTATTTTTGCGCTGCGTAACTCATGTGTTGGAACAATACGAGTTTCGAACTTATTATCATACAAATATGATTTATGTCAAATTGTTTGAAAAATGCTTCCGTCAAAGCAGCGTTGTGCAATATTTTTGCGCTTACGGATGCGTCTGTCAAACCACTCAAACCGTTTCACATAAACCTAAAATATCTCAGTTTGCCTGTGATCTCCGCATTATTGTCTCTGCCCGCCTTGCTAGAAATAAAGGCATGAGTAGAAACAGCAAACTACATTCACAGTTCCTCACATTTCTTGCTACTTCTGATTAAATCCCCCAATTACAGGCTTCGCGGCGTAAATCAGTCGTCCGCCGTAGTTGGTTGTAGTTGGTTTGGTTGTAGTTGGCGCGATCGGAACAGCTTGGAAGCAGTGTTGCCAACCTTACGAGGTTCCTCGTATAAATACGAGATTTGTGGTCTGCCGTACGGTATAACTCGATTTTTCTAACTGTGCGCATGGAGCTGTCAAAAATCCTATACGATTTGACAGTTCAACTGTCAGATCCCATACATATTTTGACAGCTCCATGCGCACAGTTAGAAAAATCGAGTTATATGAGCTACGAGGACACTGCATACATCATACGCTTTTGTCCGAGATTTTGATTCTTAAATACTTTTGTATGCAAATCTTGACTGTAAACGGCATACTTCTTGATGCCGGGAGAACAAAAAGCCTATAAAGTGCTGGAAAGTTTGTTTACTTTGAACCATCAAAATACATTATATCCAGTGTATGACTTGCCCGTATGGAGAGGGAACAAAGTGTATGGCAATCCAAAGAAAAATACCAATCATATTACACGGTTTTACCACATTTTGGAAGCTCAGTAACATTGTAAGATTCTAAAGCCAAAATACGAGGATTTTAGGTGCGTTAGTACGAGGATGAAAAGCTTTTTTGAAAAACTTGCAACATTTTCCACAACAGGCAGGATTTGAACCTACGACCTTCGGCATCATCTGTACTGCCGACGCCACTACCAACTGGGCTACCGCGGTTCTAATGGAGCCTGCGAATTAAGCAAGTACTTATGTCTTGTCCGCGTGGATGGATTCCATCTACCGGGATAGTTTTGCAACTAATTTCCAGCGACTAATTCATTCTTAGCAGATTGAATGTAGTCAAAGCGATGAAAAACCCGCGATAAATTGAATAGGTACCAAATGTAAAGTTTTTGGTTGGCAACACTGCTTGGGAGCCGGCCAATGCGCGCGCGGTGCAGGCAGCTAATGGCTGGAGTGCAGCGATATCTTTAGTTTCTGTTCCTTGTGTAGTGCAGTTTCCTGTTGCAAGATTATTAGGGCCGGCGCATAGCCCATTTGGCGCGTTCCGTTTTCAGTTCGGAATTGAAAATAAACTGTAGAGTCATTATATCAATAATGTAAATAAGTATTGGGTGGAGTAAAGCGATATCTCTAGTTTCCGTTCCTTGTGTAGTGCAGTTTCCCGTTGCAAGATTATTAGGGCCGGCGCATAGCCCACTTGGTGCGTTCCGTTTTCAGTAAGAAGGGTTGATTCCCAAGGAGGGTTGACGGCTGGTAGGCGGCCGGTCGTAAAATTAAGCCAAATCCTTGGCAACACGATTTTGTGTTCAACAAAACGTGTTGCGCCGACCCCAAGTAATTGGGATAAGGGCTGGAAGATGAATATGAGAAATGGAACGTTATCAAATTTCTAAAAGAAAGCCATGATTAAAGACTCTTTTTAAAATCTTGTTTATGTATGACTCAAGGAAAAAGCAAGAAACACACTTAAAGTCAGTTCGTGCGTTATTTTAGCGCAGCAAATGCGAAACCTTATTTTCATATAAATACGGTTTATGCAAAGGTTTATGTCAAACAGTTTGTCAGACGCATCAGGCAACGCGGCGTTTGGGTTACGCAGCAAAGGACATTACGTGTGATCTTCGCCTGATGTTTTATACAGGGATAATGTTTAATGTTTGGTCCTTAGGGAAAGTTGTTTAGCTTGTCCTGCTAAGCTAAACGGAAAGTAGGTTGTTCCTACCACCCTGTATACGTACCTACTTATCTACCTATATAGACCTTTTGATTTTGATAGTAGTAGGTACTTTGTGGTACTTTGTGGTTCGCGAGGTAACTAGCGACGTCGCGGTACAATCACAGGTACAATAGTTGCAGAAAGAGGCAAGGCCGGCCGAAATAAATAACTCAGCCGGTCCTATTCTTGGTTTGATTGTTATGTACAAGTACGGCCATTCGAATAGACTATATTTGACAGCTGTCAAACCTATACTTTAAGACGTGATAAGTTAATTCATAACGTTAACATGATTTTGACAGTTGTCAAATATGGCCTTATCGAACGGTCGACCTAACGAACCTCTTATGTATAGACCTTTTGATAGCAGTATTTTGTAGTAGCCTACTAGCGACGTCGCGGTACAATAGTTGCAGAGCGAGGCAAGGTCGGCCGAAATGGCCCAGCCGGTTCCTTTTTATTCATCATCATGTGTGATTTTACAAGGTGATATTTATTACTTTGTGAATTTGTTCCTATTCTGGTTAAGACATTGATGGCTGAACCACCTGACCAATGATAATAAAAAGAATGATGGTTCAATGTTTCGGAGGGCACGATAAGCCGTTGATTCCGGTTGCTGTCTATGATTACCTAGACACTGGTCGTTACACCACAAAATAGAGAATTTACAGAAGGTTCACTCGGCCCTATTTCGGATTTTTGCGATTGGCACTTGTTACATAGCCAGGGTTGCTATGTAACAAATGTCAAAAATCTCAAAGTACAAAAATATCAAAACAGCAAAATCTGCCAAAGAACGTCATATGATTTTGAGCCAATTTTAAATCCAAGAAATTTGACGCTCGTGTCAACCACCTTCTTAGTTACCTTGACTTCTCCTGAGATTCCGGTTATTTCCAGTTAAATTCAGTAAGCGTCAAAATCGTCGCTAGTACTGAGTGAGCCATCTCGTAAGGCGCCCCGTGCTCCGTTTCCCTAATATGTGTTATTACTTATTACTTTGTGAATTTGTTCCCAGTCTGGCTAGGACATTGCTGGCTGAACCACCTAAATATCCGAAAAGAAAGATGCTTCCGTGTTTCGGCGGGCACGTTAAGCCGTCGATCCCGGTTGCTGTCTATGATTACCTAGACGGTGGTCATTAACTCATTACACTGCCATGTCAGAGGCCTGCTACTTGTTACTAGTAGGCGGTTGAATAACTCCAGGGATTATCGGATCGTTGCACGACACGGTGTCCCAAATGAAAAAGAAATATATACTTATTTCAAGCCATATCTTCACACCTGAGACGTGAGACATCGCGACGCTTGAAACAGTTCTCATATAAAAAAAGAACAGAAGAGACACCGTCTACACACGCTACACGCGCGTAGCGTCGATGACAGCCGACGATCACTTGTCTGACAGATGTCATCTTACGTCTCGCACCTCACGTCTCATGTGAGAAAATATCACTACGTCGCACGTCTCATAATATGTGAAAATAACCCGCGACCCTTGACGTAGAAGGTAGAAGTAGGTACTATCCACTACGTCATCGGGACAATCAAACTAGGTCCCATGTAGATCCCTATCCATACAATTGATAAGTTTGATGTTTTGGCACCAACTCCAGACAGCTCGTCTCCACTTGTATGACGTCACAACCTCACGAAACTCGTGTAAGGAAGCAAGATAATATCATAAATCTATGCAGAAATCTAGTCCGTGTGGTAGCTAAGAATACTGCCACCCCTACCCTAGTTCAATCGGATGTTTCGTAGAGTTTTTGATCTCGGCCTGAATATCTGCCGACTATAGTCAAACTCATGGTGGCGGTGATACCACCTACAATAGCATTATTAAAGCAGGGGGTCCTAAAATGAAACCTAATCCTTTTGCAACATGATTTTGTGTTCAAACATGTTGCGCCGACCCCAAGTTATTTGCGATAAGGGCTGAAAGATGATGAGTACGTTTTGGTAGTGACGTGATAGCGTGATAGTCATATTATCGTGAGAATACTAGTTTTGGATTGTTTGAATATGACATCAAATATTTGCGTGTCATCTAACAACATCATATTATAAATCCTAGGAGCGCACAGGTAATAGTAAATCACAAATACACGCTCCAGACTACATTACGGTACATGACAGGCAGCATAGGAATGACAAGCTGTGATACCTAGTTCGAAGTTGTACCATTATGGTCCGTTTCGTTACCTAAGTTCCTTTATAAAAACCTGGAAAACATTCTGTAGATGTAAGAACCGTATATAATAGAGTTAGTGGTTATGCTGAAAATCACGTGTGCTGCCTCACAAATTTAAAAATATCATTACAGATTCAGTGCCTTATGGTAAGAAGTTTAGACAGTAATAAAAAATTCAGAAAACATAGAACTTTACTCACCTGTATCATATTGTTCCTTCAGCTTGCTACCCTCCGTCCGAGGCAGTCATAGCTCGCTGCGCGCGCGCCGACGAGCTCTCCCGCCCATTCTCAGCGCCACGCGATTGGCCAGTTCAAATTTCGAACACTAACAGTCATTCAATGCACTGCGCGGTCGCTCTATCTGAATTTCATCGCCTATATGAACTAGTTCGCACTGTTTAGTTTCACTGATGATTATTGTCTGGCATTCTTCAATGACCTAGGAGGATGGTGAATGAAAAATTATTGTTTTGTGTTTACTACGAGCCTTATCATTCTAGCGGTTGCAGAACGGAGTGGTTGCGCGGCAGATGCGCATCGAATTTACGGACGCGCGGCGGATTAAAGTACGGTCATTCGAATAGGCCTTTTTTGATAGCTTTCAAACGTACACTAGAAGACATGTCAACAAAGAAAAACAGACCTTATGTCATAGCATTAACAGCATTTTGGCAGCTGTCATATATGGTCTATTCGAATGACTGTACTGTAGCAATGTTTACAGTACCAAAAACGCTACTGCGTGCGCGTCCACTACAAAATTGTTGAGCATCAGTCGCGCACCCGCTCCGTTAGTATGATAAGGCTCTATTATAAGCTGTATATCTGCGTAAGAGATTGTCAGTGTTCCGTAAACACAATTATTATATAATTATTCCAATGCCGACTTCATTTCTACAAATACAATGATTTTAAATTTGATACTGAAATCGCTTGATATCAAATGGTTATATATATAGATGTTCGTTGGTCCTTATGCAGATAGAGCCAGTAGGTATTGAAAAAGTTAATCATGCCTCTAATATTATTTAGGATCTTGTCAGCGAGAGTGGGCATAGGTACCTAGGCTGAAAATTAACCCATAAATCCAAATCCTACACATAAATATGTTACACATGACATCGTGTAGATTTTAAAGATGAAAAATAGAATTTATAAGTATCTAAGAATTGAGATTTACATATAGCGAAATAACTTTTTTGGCATCAACTGGCGTCCAAAACCCAAATAACATGGAACACACAAAAATTACACAAGAAATGGAATTGTATGATTAGCTATTGTCGGCTTAGAACAGCATCGCTTCAATTCTACCTTCGGGTGTCGTAGGTCAAAAACGAGTAAGGGAATCCAATGAATGGACAGCAGGGTTTCCTGTAAATGCAACATCTTGCATTGCGCTCGCCTTTCCGCCTGTCAAGCGTGGTGAGTGTGGCAACACCCTTCGATAGGGGGAGGCCCGTGTCCAGCACCGGACTGTTGTGGCTTATGTTATGACTGTCATAGTATAGTACATAAGGCACAAAATAGAAAGAATACAAAAGGATCACTCGACTCCGTTTAGAATTTTCGCGACTGACAATTGTTACCAAGGTTGCTACTGTCAAAAATCTCAAAGTAGAAGAAAATCAAAACAGCAAAATCTGACACAAGAACGTCAAATAATTCTGAGCCAATTTTAATCCAAGAAATATGACGTTCGTTTTGTATATGTCTTTAAAGTGCATCATCATCTTCCTGCCCATATCCTAAATCAGTTGGAAGGCGCAACATGTTTTGTTAGAACACAAAATCAT